TATATAGATATAAATTTATATATGAAAGTTTACATATATGTGTATGAGCAAAAATCTTTTTTTTGGAAAGAATCTTGATAGCCTTCAGCACATGGAACAGTAAATTGCAATAGCCCTTTTGAGGTCAATGAGGCCACCTAGAGATCCATCAGTGCAAAAGAAATTACTGGAATCTGACTGGTTGGAAACTCTAGTAAACAGTCTGTATAATAAACCAAGCAACAGAAAAACAAACCAGAAATGTTGTGCTGTAGAGGGCAAATATGCTGGAGCACCACATCTATTGTTGCTCACAAAAGGCTTTGTGACTCTGTGGCAGCGGGATGAACAAGGAAGTAGCATTTGCTGCTTATAAAACCATCCCATGCAGTGCAGGAGGGATAAGGAAAACCCTCCTTGCATGGAATAAACATTTCCCTGTAGCTGTACTGTATCTGCTAATTATTTGTTTATGAGCACAAAGAAAATAATACCTTAAGCATGATACATGCCTTTAAAAATGCCCTCCCCCAAACCAGACCGTTTTTTATCTAAGCATTGTTTCATGGAAATGCAATACAATCTCACACGGACAGATACCAGCACTGTGCTAACATCTGTAAAACAGACTATTACAATCAACCCAGTCTTCTTCCTACAGAGCAGGATGGGCAGTTTTAAAAAGGACTGACGGCAGTCACTGTGCAAACATAAGCACTAATATTCCTATACTATAATTTTATTTTTCCATAATAAAGTATGTGCAACTGTGCATGCTCACCCCTACCCCATTCACACTGAGTGGACTGGATTGACAGCTTTACAGTCTCATTTATATATTTGAATAATTCTGTACTTCAACATAGACATATTTTCCAGAGGACAAAGTTTCCCTTGTGGTGTGTTTTGTGGAGTCTATTTGGGCTGGAGTGCTTTCAGGTTTCTAAAGCAAGCATTTGCAGATAAAAACTAAATACAAGGACTGCCCAAGAGAACAAACTGTAAGAGCTGCAGTGGATGTTTACTGATTTTTTGCAAAATCGGGTATTAACAGCCGTTAAGAAATCTGGAAGATATTTAGCTGAATTTTACTTTCTGAGGCTCACTTAGATAAGGGGAAAAAGAGGTGAGAGAAATTGCAGGAGGAGGAGCTGATCTGTCTCAAGGTGGAGCTGTATCTTGTATTAAATGACATTGGCAGATTAAAGCTCTCTGGTGGGGAAGGGCTTAAAGGCTGAGTCAAAAGCCAAGAAGTCTCTTTATTTACGCCTACCTCCCAGCCTCTGGCAATCTGACTAATAACAAACTGAGCTAACAAGAAAGACTAGAAAGAACAGAGAGAACACAGGAGCAGATTGCATCTAAAATTCTGACAAACCAAGTGATCAAGTCAAGCTCTGCTGAGCATCTTGTTTGTTTACTGCATCCAAATGCTTGCAAACAGTTAACTATATGCAGAAAAGTCAGCCTAGCTGTGAAGTATGCTGTGAATTTTAATTGAGGAAAAAGGACAACTGCTTACAGGATGGTCTGACGTGCACGGCTGCCTGGAAGATTTTTTCAATCGAATGCTTTGTACTTTGTCTTCTGAACAAGGATTTTAACTTTATGGAGCTGTAGTATTACCGGAGCTTGCAGCAAAGGGAAACTCAGAAGAAAGTGCGCATTTTTCAGAGGGAAAAAATTATATTGCATGGAAACAGCTGCTCCAACTGTGCATTACTGAGTGTACCAGGGAGTGTTGCTGCTGTTCAGGTAAGAAAGACTCCAGTTAGTTAATTAGCTAAGCACATGAGAATTTCACTCCTCAGTAAAAGTTGCATTTTTTGCTGCATGATTTTGTATAATTTTTATGTTAAATGATGGCAGTTTATATTGTATTTTAAACAGTTTGCAGGGACATTTATTCAAACTGATTACTGTGTAGAATATGTGCATTAAGGGTTGTTCTTTAACCTCTTGAGGTAGAAGAATGGGTGTTTGATTTTATTTCAAGAGCAAAAATGGTCTTAAATGCATCATCTGACTGTAATTCCCTTAAGAATTTAATAAAAAATCCCAAAGGCTTTTAGAAATTGCTATTTCGAAGCTTGGGGGTTTGAAAATCATCAACATAGTCATTTTTTCTTTTAAATAGCTAAATTAAGACAACCAAACAAATAAACCCCCAAGCATAATGAAAGAAGCTATTTCAATGATTTAAAACCAAATCAATTATTACTTAGCAATCATGAGATTCCTTTGCTGTAAGGTGACTACTTCTGGAAGTATTCAACTTTGCCTCATAGAAAAAACTGTGACATTTTTTAGTCTTTTAGAATTCCTACAGAGTTTAGTTACAGAATGCAGTCAGCAGTGACTTACATGAAAGCAGATAAAAAAAACTTAAGTTACCATGTGGAATTTGCTGAAAAACCTCACCACATGAAAAGGTCAGTTTTTCAAGTCTTTCAAATTACATTTTGTTGTATTGTAAATTCTTTCAGTTCAATGTTAATCTGTTACACAAGAGCAGTTTTTATTTTACAATAGTAGCCCACTGAGAACTTCATTACATGTTTCTGTGTGTTTAGAAAAAAAACTGGAGAAAGGAAAAAGAATAAAAATCTCCTATTAATTTTTATTGTGTGGGTATATATATGTGTGTGTGAGAGAGTTCTGGCAATGCTGCTTACAGAAGTATGACGATGATTAAAATGTGAATGTTTTCCAATTGGTTACAAATGTTGTTACTTTCATCTCTGAGAGGAAGGCTTTCATTTTAGTAACCTAATTTCTCAATATGCAATAGAATGCAACATGCCTTAAAGATTTCTTTTTTCATTTAATTTTGCTCAGGGACTTTATAAGTGTTGTTTGAATTTGATACGGATTGACGCTGGAATTTCTAATGAGAAAAAGTGTACAGAAATAAAGTTGAATTAGTCATAGTGTAGGTTTGAAGCCAGCATCTGTGTCAAGAGCTTGTATTTTTTACCTTGGGTAACTGGAAAGGATAGTGATGCATGTAAAGCAAGAATAAGTCTCTGGCATAATATGATCCTGGAATTATTCTGCATATTTTAAAATAACATCTTGACATGATGTGTCTTATCAAATACTTCTTGGGAAAACAGACTTAAAGACGTATATATTAAACATGGGCAGCTGGAGTTCAAGGAGGGTTATATGAGGCAACAAAATTATATTGCAACTACTAAAACAAAGATAAAAGCTCGTATTTTTAAGGACACTTTTTCTCACACTGTGAATTGCACTTACTACTTATAAACTCGTATTTCTACTCTCACTTATCAGAAGCTACTCATGGAGAAAAACAAAATTCACTGTGGACACACTTGCTGTTGTTCTTTGTGTGTGTGTGTGTAATACTCATGCCACAGCATTTAAGTGCTTGCATGTGTAAAGCTTTGCAATCTGTTCTCAGGGAAGCCTTGGGAAATAGTGTTTCTAGTAACAAAGGTGCATGATATTCAAAGTATGCATTGATGAGATGCCAAATCATGTGACCACACTATAAAAATGTTCATGCATGTAGTTGAATTGATCCTTGTAAACATTCTAATCTTTCAGAAACTGACACAGTTGGTAGTGTAGTGACATTCTGTACTTCATCTTTCAATAGCCTAGTTTGAAAGATTCTGACCTTTATTAGATGGATTACTTAAGAGTCTTGCTTAGTTCAGTACTCAAATAAATAGCACACCCCATAAACATTACTGTTTTAAATAATCCATTGCATTTTAGGGGATTTTTTTGTTATTATTTACTTTTATGTTATGTATCAAGAGTTACCATTGGTCTTGCTAATTAGGCAGCCTTGACAGAAAGAAACAGAGAATCCTCTAATAGACTATAGGACAACTTAATTCGAGCCAATAATAAGTGACTGATTTAAACATCTAAATTTTACTTGCAACTCCATAGCTGTATTGTAATGATGCATTTATCAAGTGTTTCAAAGTCTAAGATCAGATTGAAAGGTGATAATTATATTACATAACATATAGTTGATAGTGGTAATAATTTTTAATTTGTAAAGCACAGTCAGGTCCATATACATTTCACTGAGGAAATTGATGATTATTATCATTGGGAGGAGTCTAATATTTATCTCAAAAAGTTTGCCCTTGCTTGCTTGTTTTTTCTGGCACACACTGCATTCTCAGTTCTCTTTTTTTAACGTTGTGTACGCAAATTTTTCAGTATGTACATTACATGCAAATGTTACACTACTTTGTGCTGTGGCCCCACTTTCACCCACAGACTACAACATATGCATTAAAATTTAAGCAAAGAGAGATGATTATTTTGTCTATGTCCTTTTCAGTTTGTGGGTACAAGGATTTCAGAGGAAATACCCTTTGATTTCCATACATAATGCAGAACTGTAGAGAGATTCCCTGTATCCTGCAAGAATGGGCTTTTGCTCACAACACATTACTGATCCAAACCAAATCTTATTTCTCTTCAGCAGCTGGGTAACATTAAGTTAATCTTAGCAAGGTAATCTTAAAATTTGCAGTGCTCTGTAGTGACAGAAAGCAATGGTTCAAAATATTATATTAGCGTTGATATAAGTTTCTTGGAACAGTAAATTATTACTGTTTTCCACTGGCAGTCTATACAGTATATGAATAAAACCAACACACTCCTGATTACATCCTACTTTGGCTATCAGCATGAAAGTACTGAAGATTTCCCCTTATGACTGTTTATTCATTCAGTACATAAAACTAAATTTATATTCTCTAATTAGAAAATAATTCAATTGTTTTGCATGATATGATAGCACTTGGAAGGAGAAGTAGCTCAGCGATGAATATTAGGAATGTTTTTTTCTTCCTGTTATGCCAGGGAAAAGAAAAACAAAAAGAAAAAAAAAAAACCACAACCAAAAACAAAAAACCAAAACAACTCAAGCAAACAAACCCCAAACAAAAAACCCAAACCCTGTGAAATCATGACTCTATTATTAATTTTTATTTTTATTTTTTTTTTAGTAAAATCTGCTGGACAAGATGAAGCTTTGGATTTTCATTCTATGCTCAATTGTGGTTGCATCCGATCCTTTCCAGTCACAGCCTTCTTTTTCTTCAGTCAGAGGATCTTGTCAGAGTCTGTGTTCCTGTGAAGAAAAGGATGACACCATGATTATCAACTGTGACAAAAGAGACATCAAGATGATATCAGAAATAAACGTCCCACCATCACGGCCTTTCCATCTTAATTTGTTAAACAATGGTCTGAGTATGTTACATGTGAATGATTTTGCTGGCCTTGTTAATGCTATTTCTCTGCATCTTGGTTTTAACAATATAGCAGATATTGAGCCTGGGGCTTTCAATGGTCTCAGCCTTCTTAAGCAACTTCATATCAATCACAATTCTTTGGAAACACTTAAAGAAGATACGTTTAATGGATTGGAAAATTTGGAGTTTCTTCAAGCAGACAACAATTTCATCACAGTGATTGAAGCAAGTGCCTTTAGCAAGCTCAACAGGCTTAAAGTGCTTATTTTGAATGATAATGCCATTGAGTATCTTCCTCCAAACATATTTCGTTTTGTGCCATTGACCCATTTAGATCTGCGTGGAAACCAGTTGCAGACACTGCCCTATGTTGGCTTTTTGGAACATATTGGAAGAATACTAGACCTTCAGTTGGAAGACAATAAATGGGCCTGTAACTGTGATTTGTTGCAGCTGAAGATATGGCTAGAAAACATGCCTCCTCAGTCCATAATAGGTGATGTTGTATGCAATAGCCCTTCAGTTATCAAAGGCAGCATATTAAGCAGGCTGAAAAAAGAATCTCTTTGTCCCACCCATCCTGTTAATGAACTTGAAGATCCTTCAGGGTCACTGCCCTTGGTTGTAACCACCTCTATCAACGATAATTATCTATCAACTAAGGTGATTCCTCTCCTGAAAGCTCCTACTAAAGAACCAAGTTTAGTGCTTCATACTTCCAAGCCTACTACATTTCCAGGAATCTCTTGTCCTGTCCCTTGTCACTGCACCAGCCATATGCTCTCAGGAGTTCTTATGCACTGCCAGGAGCGAAATATTGAAAGCTTGTCTGATTTAGGACCCCCTCCTCCAAACCCTAAAAAGCTTATCCTAGCTGGAAACATTATTCAGACGCTATTGAAATCAGATCTTGTGGACTATGCCAGCCTGGAAATGCTTCACCTGGGGAACAATCGCATTGAGATCCTCGAGGAAGGTTCCTTTATGAATCTGACCAGACTACAGAAACTATATCTCAATGGCAATCATCTTACAAAGCTAAGTCAAAATCTCTTCCTTGGCCTTCAGCACCTTGAGTACTTGTACCTTGAATATAATGCCATCAAAGAAGTTTTGCCAGGGACATTTAATGTAATGCCAAAACTGAAAGTTCTCTACCTAAATAACAACCTTCTGCAGGCTTTGCCACCCCATATCTTTTCAGGTGTTCCCCTCACCAGACTAAATCTGAAAACAAACCAATTTGCTCATTTGCCTGTGAGCAATGTCTTGGATGAACTGGATATGCTGGTACAAATTGAACTTGAAGACAACCCTTGGGACTGTACTTGTGATTCAGTTGGACTGCAAAAATGGATACAAAAATTGAGTAAGAATACCATGATGGGTGATATTTTTTGTAAATCTCCCGGACACTTAGCAAAGAAAGAATTGAAATCCCTAAAGAGTGAAGTCTTGTGTCCAGGTTTAATAAACAGCCCTCCCCTACCAACCCATGCCAGTTTTGTAGTTGTGACAACTTCTTCTCCTACTGCCAACACCGCAGACACCATCCTGCGGTCTCTTACAGATGCTGTCCCACTTTCTGTTCTAATATTAGGACTGCTCATTGTGTTTATAACTATTGTGTTTTGTGCAGCAGGAATAGTTGTTCTTGTTCTGCACCGGCGCAGGAGATGCAAAAAGAAGCAAGTGGATGAACAAGTGAGGGACAGCAGCCCTGTTCACCTTCAGTACAGCATGTATGGGCATAAGACCACACACCACACCACGGAGCGCCCAGCTGCCACTCTCTATGAGCAACGAATCGTCACCCCAATGGTTCAGGTGTACCACAGCCCGTCCTTCAGCCCCAAGCACACCGAGCAGCAGCAGGAGGAGGGAAGTGAGAATGAAGCTAATGATTCCAAATACCTTCGCCGAAGTCTCCTGGAAAGAGAGAACAGTTCACCACTTACAGGTCCAAATGTCAAATACAAGGCTACAGATCAATCTGCTGAATTTCTGTCTTTTCAGGATGCTAGCTGCTTGTATAGAAACATTCTTGAAAAAGAGAGAGAGCTGCAGCAACTAGGGATCACAGAATACCTAAGAAAAAATATTGTCCAGCTCCAGCCTGACATGGAAGTTCGTTATCCTGGAACACATGAAGAGTTGAAGCTTATGGAGACACTCATGTACTCCAGGCCAAGAAAGGTTTTTCTAGAACAAACTAAAAATGAGTATTTTGAGCTCAAGGCTAATTTACATGCTGAGCCTGACTATTTGGAGGTCCTGGAGCAGCAAACGTGAAGTGATAATACATTGGGCTGGGGCCAAATTTCTGTGATTTTACTTTAAGGTGGAATCATTGTAAATAAAAGTGCCTTATAAAAACATGTCAACAGTCAGAACTTAAGCACAGCAGTAATCCTAGCAAAGAAAAAACTCAGGGATCACTGTGGGAAGCCATGGGGTTGCGAGCAGGCAATATGTCAAACCCCAAGTTAAGCAAGAATTTAGTATGGTTGAACTGTGTGAGGAAGATTGCTTATTGCACTATTCCTCATCATTTTGAAAAGGTGTATATGCCACTCTCTGTTCACGTCTCTGTTTCCCAACCTATGGAAAAAAAAGTTCATTTCCTTTACCCCTTCTTTTTTCCCTCCATTTAATTAGATTCCTTTAAAACAACAAAAAGACCAAAAAGAAAAAAAAAAGAAAATTCCAACACCTGTGTTTGTATTTATAACCTTAGAGTGTATATGTTAGGTTAGTACATGCACTGCATACATGACCACTGTCTACAACAACACCTTACATACCATTATAATAAATATGAAAGGAGTTGAAAAGTTGTCATACTAAATGTCAGTTAAAAAGGAAAACAGATAAAATATTTTTGTGTATTCACCCAGAGCCTGCAAATATTTAAGTATTCTACACAGAACTTTATGTGAATTCTGTATCAGTATGTGGAAGGAAAAATATGCATCTATGTTTACCCAACATCTTCAACAAAGAAAACTGCAAGCCTTTTGCTACTTTCCCTATCTGATAGCTTTACCTAAGTTTGGACAATCTTTTCTTGAGCTGCTGCTATAAGATATTGTGCATCACTGGTGTTTCAACTCATAATCCTGGGTAATTTGAAAAGCTACTGAGAATCAGCTGTAAATATGTTACTGTGTTTAATAAGTTTGATTTTTTTTTATAAATATATATCTATACATATGTATATAAATAACTTCTGTGCTGGCTTTAAATATTCTTGAAGGAAATGAGTTTGCTGTGGCTAGGAATTTCCAAGTGCATATACAGGTCCTTTTCCACCCTAACCAAAAGCAACGCTCAGACAGAATTGCAAACTGCAACAATACACACATAAGGAGGAATAATAGTATATAGCTATTTGTACAAAAATATATTTTCTGAAATTAGAATAAAATAAGGTGTTGTGGGAAAAATAGGTTACAAACACATAGAACACTGCAGGTTTATTTTTGCAATGAATTCTCGCTAGATTTATATTTACTATTTATTCTGTATAATTTTGTATTTTTTTCTTTCCAACTCACAAGAGAAGAAAAAGCTTATTCCTGGCTAATTTTCAAGCTAATCAAGGAACTGCTCTCTATTAATGAAAAAGAAATAAAGAGTTTTTTAAATGTCTTTTTCTTAAAGGTTACTTTTTAAAGAAGGCAGCAACTTCTGCATGCACAAGTTTAAAACTACTTGGGAATTAAACACAATGATTCTCTTGCCATGTGGACAGAAGCTTCTTATCCTGAGTTCAGTAAGGTCATTCAATTTCTGTGCATGACTGATGTGGTGCCAAAACACAATTTCTGACCTGCATCTATCTTCCTCCAAGCAAATCTTTTGTAAACTGACTATGCATGAGTTTTTTTTTCTAATTCCTATTTGTAAAGTGAAAAATCAGCTTAATTATTACATGTATAGATATGTATGCTAAATTTAGCATTGAAATCTTGATAAACGCAAAGTGAAAAGATATATATTCTTTAGTTCAAAATGCTGTCCATGTCTTACCTATTTGTATATACAAATTAGAGTTCTTCATATTCTTCTACATAAGTTTCTGACAAAAATTTCCTATATTACATATGAAAGTCAGATTCTCAGTTCTTTCAAATTTGCATAGACATAACAACTTTTATGGTGCTATACTAATTTCTCTAGTTTGAGGATCTGACCGTCTTTTTTCTCTGTTAACAAATCAACTTCCTTATTAATATTTTTGAGGTATTACCAGTTTTTTATGGAAGTAAAACCTGGCTTTCATAAATCAAAATTTCAGTTATTAGAGAAGTATTATTTCTTCTTTCTATATCTGAGAATAATTTAATCAGAAAACCTGTGTATTTTGGAAGATTATGAAGAGTAAATGTGGCAACAATATATTTTGTTCTGTTGCTATCTTTATTCCAAATTATGAAAGACAATATTGAATATTGCTTGTGCAGGTAGGGGTGAGAAAAAAGGGAAAATGTTCGTGCAATAACTTTGCATTAAATGAGTTATATGATGTTATTTTAGATGTACTTGCATATTCAAGTTCATGTAAATGTGTTTCATGAGCATAGAACCTATGAAAACCCATGCCTGGATCTGGAGGAGCAACTGGGGGACAGATGGGATGGCTTAGAGCATTAAAATGACACTAAGTGTCTCCATTTAAAGAATTTTGTTTCACACAGGTAAAAAGAATCAAATAAATTTATTATATAGAATAATTAAATACAGTTAAAAATTGAATTTATTTAATGGAAATAGAAAGCTTTGAATGCTGAATCAGACACATTAAATTGTTCTTGATCAAATTCTCAGATATCTCAAATTAGAAAAAATCAGAATAAAGGAAAAATCAGAAAAAATCAGTAAAGGAAAAAATCAGAATACAAATGTAAATGGTACTTGATAACAGAGTTTATTATTTCAGTGTCGTTGATTTCAGCAGTTATTTCCAAAAAAAAAAAAAGTGTGTAAAAATAACACCCTGCAATTGGCAAGATGAGGGGAAATGGTGATTCAAGCCCTCCGGCTTAGATTTAAGAGAAATAGCTTCAGACTAAAGACAATTGCCACATGCACAGATGTCACTTTGCTTCGCTGCTAACAGTTACTTGGCAGAATGTTGAGGACAACAGTGTGGCAAACATTCTTTTCCCTTGCAGTCTCAAAGCATCAGAAGGAAGAGTGAGCTAAATTAGTGTCAAAGCAAGTCAGTTACACAGCTGTATGGGAGCCTCGCTCAGCAGGATTAAAGAGACCTTTACCATTTAGCTTTCCTTCAGAAGGGAGAGTCATGCCTTTCACTTTATAAGGACAACTGTGCTCTGTGGCAGCCTGTATAACACTGCAAGGGGTTTGGCAATATTCAGGAATCTCCAGGATGTGGCTCACTGTCCACTTTCCTACCATCACGTTGCCTACTGGGCTGCCATGTAGTGAGCCTTTATAATGAGAAGGGAGGGGTCTGCCTTACATTCAGACAGTGATTTTTCCAACTATACAGAAAATGTACACTGCCATAACAAAAAAGGACAAAGGTTTGACATCATATGATCATTTTTCAGCTAAAGAAAATCATTGTCTGCTTATAAAAATAAAATCATGACATAAGAACGGCATCACATAAGAGAGAAGGATGTGATATCCATTCCTAGAAGTTTCTTGGAATATTCTAACAACTGGAAATGTGTTGTTAATGTTATTGATGTTTGCAGAAAGCTGGGAAGGATATTCATAAATTTTCTTGTTAAAACCCTATTGTCATTTTTTTTTTTTTCAGTGATAGGCACAGTTAAGTGGTTTGATACATTTTTACTTAGCTACAATAATGGAGGTTGGAAGGCAAAGCATGTTTGACAGTGTGCAACAAAGTGGATCCATTCTTGTCCTGTCAGGATGAGAGTTTAATTGAGTGTGAGAACAGTTCTTAGTCAAGCACACTGGTGTCAGTGGCAGCTATGATGTTGTTGCTAGGGTACCTCAAGGTAACCAACACTACCATTTTTCACCTCACATTTGAACAGACCTGTTCCCTAAATAAACATATTAAAACAATTAATTACACTTTTTTCTTTTAAACTGTTCTTATATTTTCAACTTCATAAAAGACAATTGTCTTCTCTTTCTTTTTCTTCCTGCTACAGGTAAATTTCCCACAAACTTTTAGCACTGGCACTTGATTGTATTGCCTGCAGTGATGCCTCTCCAAGCTTTTCAAAATAAATAAAACCCAACCCTGCACTTAAAAAACCCTATCCAACAAAGAATATAAGTGTACACATCAATTAGGACATTTGCCTATTCAGAAATGGCCTAATATTTTTAGATGTTCTTTTCCATTTGAATGACAGATCAACCTTTCTGTCATCTATTCCAGACTGAAAACTAGTTTGTACTTATTTTCAGTGATGTGTCAAACCTATCAGATTTGAATATAATCCTTTTTAACTTGCAGTCATTGTTTCTCTGATTGGAATCTGGGGATCAATTTTCAGCCCCTCTTTGCAAGACAAAAATGTTCCCTGTATGACTCCAAATGGAAGATGTTTGCCATGTACCACTTAACTTACCTACAAAGAGATTACTAATTGTATAGTGTGTTAAACCGAAGAAATAAGTTTGGCCACGATGGGAAACCACAACACCTTAGAAAGATTCATTTCTTGTATGTTAATAAAAAATAATAGTTATCACAAATAAGACATTATTTCACAGGATAAAGGGATAGTGGCAAGAGGAAAAAATGGAGACTGAATCTCAAAGTCATCACCAGAAGGAATTCTGGATTATCATTCTGAGGATGTCAATGTCTACAGCAACACACTTTATTAGTCACGCCAAAACAATCTGCAAGTTTCATGTAGATGTACTGAAATCATCCTGAGATTGAAGATCAATCAAACGCTTAATTCAAAAGATCAGAAACTTTCTTAAGACTGGCACATTTGTCTTCTGTTATACTCCCTAACACGGAATATCTGCATTTCCATTAATGAATTTCATGCTCAGCCATAGACTGCCCTCTGGCATTACAATCTGTTGCAATTGAAATCTACTCCTTGGAGAGTTTTTTAATTGTCTTCAGTGGTGAGTTCCTCTGGGACCTGATGATTGGTGCACCATTGGGGATCTGAGACAGGGAAGATAATCTTGTGTTATGAATCAAAAACTGTCTTTCTTTTTCAATTTTCGGAAGTTTGTGATATTCTTGATATTGTTTGAGGAGCAAATCCTTCTGTTCCTTAAAACAGAAGTGAACTGTAGCTGGAATCAATATA